AAGATTTACATGCTGGCTGGGGCTCATCTGGACTTCATTCCATCTGTAGCCTGGTGGCTAACGCTATACAGTATCTAGGTAAAACTATTCTGGCAGTAATTATGGTAGGAATCATAGGAATTTTGGCAGGATGAGACCTTTGAACTCTGTGTTGTGAGTCAAGTTTTAACCTCTAGACCACGGTGGTAGCAGCAGCCATGGTGCAAAACACTTATACATGTGTTCAATTAGAACACATAACTACAGGCATACGGTTCTGATAAAGGAGACATGTAGTCCATCAAATTAACCTCTAAAGCAAAAAAAGGAAGAACCAAGTTCAGCTTAAATTCCTTTCCACTGCCTTAAGTACCAAGAGGATACAGGGGGAGAGCAGTTCCCACTCAAGCTCCTGTACTTTTTATGGCGCTTAAAGATATAAATGTGATAGTTATAATGTACTTTGTAGCTGTAATTTAATTCCCATGTAATTATTACAGACTTACTTTATTATCAAAATAGAAAATCAGAAATTCTTCATATGTCTTTTATTTAATCTGGAAACAGCCATGACAAAAAAAAAAGAAAGAAAAATCAGTCAAATTTTGGTATCCGAGGAAGTGACTAGTGGGACACAAGAAACTTTCCGCTTAGTTTTATTGAGAGCAGTTGTCTGAAGTAAACTGTGACAAAGTCAGTGGAAAACACTCACTCAAGCATGCAGATACCTTACACTCCTCCTGGATGCTAGGCTGGCCAGGACAAAGCATTGCACTCTTCATTCACCTGGTGTTTTGCAGCTTTGATTCAGCGTGTACAGCAAAATAAGTCCCTCAGCAGAGCTAGGTCCCTGTCCTTTCACAGCTGACATGCTGCCTGCATGTGTCCCTGGGGCTGCCAGCTGAATCTCCAGCAGGCAGCTACAGCTGCAGCCAAGCTACATCTCAGCCAAGCCCAGACCGAATATTTTGGTGCATTCAACCCCCTTTGCTCTTCAGCCAGCTCAATCCAATCTCAATCTAATCTGAGTGAGAGCCCATTCACCCCTCCTGCTCACACAGTGAGACCCACTGAGGTAAATTCTGATGTGAGCTACAACAGGGATTTTCTGAGGAGGATACAGCAGAAGCTGGCAGCTCTTGTTCTAGCATCACCATACTTCCTAGCCCACACACATGCAGGAAGAGCCATCCTTGCCTCAGAGGGGGTATTTCATCTCTTCATGTGGTGTATGTACTCACATAATTTCTAGAATATAACCACAAAATTCGCTAAAGACTTCTAGATGAGCCATATTTTATCCTGTAGAAACTCCACCCTCTCTGTCTGCTGCATGTAAATTTTTTTTATACTGAGGAATTTCTCAAAAAAACCCAGGAAAATGGAAGAAGGAGAGAACAAATGTCCACACATTTAGAACTAAAGAAATCAATATACAAGGGTAAATGAGGAAGAAAAGAAAAAAAATAAATTACTTATACACCACAGTCCTTACGTTTGTGAGAATAAATGTCCTAGCAGTATTACTCAAATTGTGCGGAAAGATTAATGTGGCTCAAATAATAATGAAAAAATAATATTATAAACTACTAGGAAGATAAGGAAACAACAAAGAAAAATTATAGTATGCATAAAATATGCATTATCTTTTTCTGAGCCACTGACAACTGAAAAATGACCTTGATTGCTTATGGATTAGAAACCTAAGAAAAAGTACAGGATGTACCCCACAAGCTATAAAATCATGCAATAGAAAAATAAGACCAGACTCTTCAATTCTTCATAATGTGCAATAAAATTTCAATTTGGTGAACTTCCATTCTTGTGGTATGAACCAAGATTTGAAAGCATTCAGCTACAAAACAATGTTTTAATTTAAAACAGCACATTCAGAACCAGAAAAATCTTTATCTTGAGGAGCATCTTGAGAAATGAAGCACTGATAAAAAGAATCAGATAAATGTCATAAGATATTCATAAATAAAATGATGCTGAGAAAGTGACTGTGTTTGAACACATCTTAGTTGCCACGATGAACATTTTGAGGAACTGATTAGGTAGGCTAATATTGCATTTGTGATAACATTAAGTGCACATTAAGTGTACACATATAAAAATACGTATACATGTAATGTATAAAGGAGCACACATACACATGCATGCGATATACACACTTATACATGCACAATTGCATATAGAAAATTAAGAACAAGAAATTGATCATTTTGAGTCACCGTTAGAAATAACTTCAGAAAATTGAAGGGAGGTGAGAATGTAAGGGGCAAGCACAGAAAAAGTAACAAAGATATTGGTAAAAATGTCAGGATGTATATTTAACTGGAAATATATACTAAAATGATATATTCAAATATATAAAATATGAATTATGAGTAACTGCCTGAGGAGATAAAGCCAAGTGAATGTCATGTCATGTGATAAGGATTTTCCCACTTCATTACTATTAAGAGGCCAATAAGGGGCATTTACCAATGTTATAATTGTAATGCTGTCAGATCTAGATAATGTGCTTGAGACAATTTTGAAAGAGCTTTGCAAGATAAAGGTCAATTTCCACTAAATGTCTGGAACTGATGAAATTGCCTGAGAGAAAACCAGTATGGTGCCAATATCTAAAAACCATGAATAGGGTAGGTTACGTCTTTAAAAACTCATGATTAAATCAGTTAGGCCATTACAGTTCTGACACTGACCCCAAAAATATGGCAAAAAGGATAGAAAACTTGTTTATCTCTCTATTCAATATTTATTTTTACTGAGGCTTAAATTTGTTTGGTATAAACAATTAAATGATGTATTATTTCAAATATTTAAAAGTTAATGGAAATAATGTATATTAGTGATCTGATTGTAGATGAATAAGTTCTTCACAATACGTATTATTATGCAGGATACATTATGCATCAGGCTTTATATAGGTATGACTTGTTAATTTACTCTTCCAGTAAATGATGTCACACAATCTGCACTTCTTAGTCTGCCTCCAAAATTTAACAATCTTATCAATTATACAGACTGAAAACAGTCACTGATGAAATTAGCAGCTGACTGCTGTTAAAGTCATATTAACAGATAGTTTAATCATATTAAACGTCTGCTTTTCATGGCAAAATATACACTATTAAAAATAATATATTTTATTGTTTTACTAAAATAAAATGCTCTCTGCATCCCAGAGTGAAGAATGCAAATAATGATGGATGGGAAAGGGTATCTCAGGGAGTAATCTTAACAAAGGTATAAAATATTGAATAATTAATGCCATCTATTTTCTAAAAAACATAATTTCAGATTGACAAATGAAAACACTAGCAAAAGTATTACAGTCCCAATCTTTTTTCTTTTCTTTTCTTTTTTTTTTTTTTTTCCGTTGTGTAAGAGAGCTTTAGATTTGCTCTTCTGTTGAGTAACCAAGATAGGCAATGAAACTAGAAATCTAAGAAAGGACCATTGTTATCTTGGCTACACAGACAAGTCAGTGAAAGTTTCTTTGCCACACATTTGATGCAGTAATGTTCCAGACAGTGAAACAAACAAACCCAGAAAATTGTAAAGAGAGTAGGCTCACACTCAGAATTAACTGGGAGCAGATGTTGACAAGGGAGTTAATCCAGGTGACAAAAAACTAAAGAGCTTGAATCATTATTGACTGCTGGGTCTGCCATGGGCACTTTGCCCAGACAATAAGCCAGAGACAGATAAGATGGAGCTCTTAAGTGTATGGTCTGACTCAAACATCTTTGGACTGGATTTAGATTTAGAAATACTGCTGAAGAAAATTTAAATGTTTCTTAAGAATGATTATTTGGTAAATAGGCTATGTATTATTTTAGTTTGTTGTACTGGAAAAAAAAAAAACAACAAAAAAAACCTAAAAAACAGAAGAAGTTTTTAATCTGTGGATTTTCTGCTGACAAAAAAGAAAAGATATATTGGAAAAAAAGTGTGAACCATAGGCTGTGATATGTTTCAAAATTTTGTTTCACAGATTAGTAACGAGATACTCAGAATGCCTTCCCTTTGCTTCACTGATACAAAGAACAGGTCCTTGTAACTTTCAGCTACTCTTACATAGCTGCTGTGCTTGTCATTTGGGATAAAATTTAGGTTGCCCCATATCATAGCTACATTTAATATATCTTCAGGAAAGTTAGCAGGACTATTAGAAGAGAGCAGTACATTTAACCTGTATTGTCTTCCAGTAGCTTCACTTACTGAAATGTAGACTGTTCATTACTTCATATTACACGTCTTTTTGTACTCCGAGTTCACATCACAAGTCAGAAGCTTCCATACACCATTGAAGTGCTAATATTTCCATTAAAGTACCATTCATTTCCTGATTTACTGCTCAGTACTAGGGCTGTCAGCCAGCAGCTAAACTATGGTTTAATAGTGTGGAAATAGAATAAAATCAATAACTAGAGAAGCCTCTGACTTTGTGAAGTCAACCTTAATCATGGATCAGTTATCTCAGATTTTATGACATAACTCAAATTGATTGTGCTAAGGCAGAGAGTGGTACCTGAGAATTTATGACAAGGTCATATCCCAACAGTGTCAGGGACTTTCCAGCCCTGCCCGGGGCTCTCGCAGAACACCGACCTTTAAAGCTTCTCGCTGTTTAAACTATTTATTGCCTGCGGTGTGAGAGGAAGCAGAGAAGGGAGAACATGGAAGAGTGGGACAAAGGTCACAGCTCTGGAGACCTCTAGTATTTGCTTTTTTTTATTTTTCCAATTTATAGGAAAAAGCAATGAAGTGAATGAGGTGGAAGTATTTAGAGTATGTTGCAACATAGGAAAGATGTCGCTGATGTTGCATACAAATATTATATTGATAAAAATATATTTCTACTCTAACATATCTAAGAACAAAGCAAAAACATTACCTTATACAAGTAGCCATGCTCTCAGGAGCCATACCATTTCCAGTGCAAATGTCAAACAAACCATAGTACTTGAAATTTCATTGAAAAATATAATTTTAAAAATATTCTACTAAGTCTGTTTCTTCAGCTCCTCATTTGTTTGGTAGAATGACAGCACAGTCCATGCCAGCTCTCTGAAGCATTTCTGGATGTGATTACACTGCTGTTTCTTTCCTTAAAGAATGTTCTTCCAGTGATAGATCCTGGAGAGACATAAAAATTATTAGCAATATTTTTATAAGAGGAAAGCAAAAATAATTCTTGGACTGTATTAATGTGTGAAGATTATTCTAATGTAGGAAAGACACAGCCCTTATTACAAATCTCTAGTGTGATCACATTTGAAGTATTACATCTTATTACCTCATAATCAGAAAATTGTAATGTTGAATCTTAATTCCAAAATACTTTGGAAAGACCTGTAATTACAGAAATGTAAAATAGGTGAAAAATAAAGGAAAAATTAAGTTAGGTATGTATCATTCAGCTAAGGAACAATGAATAATGAAAATGCAAGAATACATAGCAATTCAGAAATACGGTGAGATATTTAAACTTACAAGCATGGGTTATTTTGAGTACATGAGGCATAGTCAGGTGGAACACAGCTGAATAAGCATGAACTGATAAGGCACCTTGGCACCAATTCCTGCTGCACTGATAATTCATTTCCCATAGGAATTATCTTTAACAGACTTGTGGTACTACTTACAATTAAGAAATAATTGATCTTTGACAAAGTTCTCCTTCTCTGTTCCATCCAGTCATTGAAGAGATCTATGGGCTCAAGCAGCTCTGCTCATTTACCAGAAGAGAATTCAGACTTACTACCTGCATCACAAAGATAAGAAAGAAAGGAAGAGAAGCATGATGCAGAGCATGGAAGAGACTTGTGTGGTACAAAGTTCAGTTTAATGTTCAGAGTCAGACAGAAGGAGATAAACAGTATGGATGCTCTAAAACAACACTGTTCTACTTCACTGCTTTACATTATTTTAGAAGAGATTTTTGTTTCAATATAAATAAATAAATATCCCTTCCATAATTTCAGTTAGTATTTTTGGTACTATATCATGAATCCACTTTCCTCATAATGAAAACTTAAAGCACAATTTTATCAGTCTGCTTGTCTAATTCAAAAGGTGCATCAAGATTTGCTCTAGTTTACAGTTATGTTCCAAGTAGCTTCCAGACAACCATCATTAGTGTGAATAAGGGTTTCTGTTCTTAAAACTGAAGCAGACACAATAATAAATTTCACACAATTAAATTTTTTGGTTTGCTATAAACAGGTTATGTCCAAAACCTTGCATGGTGTTTAAAGCCTTCAATCTGAAAATCTTAATTTAAAATAGTAAAAATATGAGTCTAGTAGTAATTTTTTTTCTGTTTTGTGTGACTCTGAAACATTTTTTTCTACGCTGGTGATTGAGCATTAGCCATCCAGGCTTCATACAGAGCACAATTCCTTTCACAGAGAGATGCTGATTGCAGTTTTTATTGCAAAATCCAGACATGAAAATTTATTCGTTTATAGTTATTTGTACCTAAAAAAACCCCACAAAACAAAGCAAAACAAAACAAAACCCAAAAAACTTACAGAAAGCAAATACACATATAACTGATAAATCATTCCAGTTCTACAAAAGGAGCAATCAAAGAAAATGAGACACTATATCTGACTATTTTGTGTTACTTTTGCATGAAATCAATCAGTCACAAGTATGCTAAAAATAAACCATGAGTTGTCACAGAGTCATTCACATCCTTACCACTGTTACATGGCCATATTTTCAAAGAGATGTAGTCGGCATTTTCATTTTCATGTAGACATGCTTGGGAAGAAAGGCTTCTAGGAAAACCAGAAGTAAAAAAGGATATTTCTCTTTTCAAGTCTTCTTGGAGTAAAAGCCACAGACATTTTATCTGAAAAGACAAAAGATCTCAATAACGTGCCTCTGCAATCTCCCTCCCTCTCCTCCCACAGGAGTCCTTCCCTCAGTTTTGGCTCTCCTTCTTTGAGTTCTATAACATTTTGTCATTTGGCTTCACATTTTACTGGTATCAGTCACTGCCCTATAAACCCATACCAATACTTCCAAGCTGAGAATTCCTTTCACTTCAGAGAACATACCTGGGGTGACCATCAAAAGGTAAGTAGATTTAAAAAGGGTACAATACTAAAAATTGACATAAATTTAAAAAGAAAAAAAAAAATGTCTATGCCTTCTGAGAGCTTAATAGTGTCCAATAGGATGGACATCCAATAGGATGGCTCATAACTCGGCAGTGCCAGGCGACAAGATGGAAAGCATGTGGAGAGCAAGTAGGTGGCAACATGAAATTTCTGAGAAACACAAGCCTCTATATTTATGAGTTGGTTTTTTTTTTTCCTTCTTCCTATTTCAAACCCCTGAGAGCTCTAATGGCAATTCTTATGCAGAAAATCCTCTCACTCTGGCAAAACACACAGTGCAGTCCAACACAGCAACACCCTCTTTAACCCTGGCACAGTAGACATACTCACTTACTCTGCTGATATAAACAATATATGAATTGCCTCTCTGAAACTAGCATCAGCACATTTTTTAATTGCTTGTTTTTCAGCTTCACTCTTTTACTTACAAATGTTTTAGAACAGCAGTAGAGTATGCAGATACCAATTTTTAGCATTACCTTTTCTAGAATATGCACTATTATTCCCCTCTCAATCTCTTCCAGTAACTAGAAGTACCAACATCAAAAAACTCACTAATACCACACCTGTAAAATAGTGGATTTAAATAATGAGAAATCCATGTTAAAAACATGTGTGTGTGACTTTTTTAGTAAACATAAAATATTTTTTATGGTCTCCACTACTTCTGAAGAAAAATTCTGTTTTCCAACACCAACTACCTCTGATACAGACCTCTTGTAAATTGCACTAAACCATGTGAACTGTTTTATGGTAGAGGAACAGGAAATTAACTAAGATTTATTTTCTCTTTTGATCTAAGTTAAGAGCTGAATTAAGCCACTGCACCTCACATATTAGAGGTCAGACAGAGAAAATTTTAGGCATCATCACTCAAAATATTGAGGTCAGGCTTAGAGAGACCCTTCAGAATTTGCACTCATATTGGAATATTAGAAACTTAAACGCCTCATTTTAAGAATGAACAGCAGTAGGCTTTGAAAATGTGGGTAACTAACTTTAGTATGCAAGTGGGCCACTAGGAAGCACACTGGCTGACATCTCACTCGGTTTGGGCTTCAATATCAACTTCAAGAGCAATGATAGAGAGTTGCAGTCTGAATGGCCCTACTGATTAGACCACTCAGAGATCTGGAGATTTTCTGTAAGATTTTCCTGACCCTCGGGATATTTAATCCTTCTGTTCCCACTTCCCAGAGCTTGCCCTCAATAACACCCTAGACTGGAAAAAAAAAAAAAAAAAAAAAAAAAAAAAAAAAAGAAAGGAAAAGAAACACACATTCATTATTCCTTTTGCTGGAACTGGACTGCCCTGAAAAGAATGCAAGACTGGCAGCATCATAGAGAATAAACAAGAGGGAGTCTGATGCTGCAAGGCAACAAGGAAAGTGCCTTTGCTCCCCCAGTGCTAACAAAGACAAAGGACCCTCCACCAGACGATGCAAACTGTCCAAGACAACAGAAAAACTGGCAAAGCCAGAACATCAGCATCACTGACCCGCTTGAAAAAGTACTCCTTAAGGAATACCAGCATCTGAGAGAATACTATCTATTTTGTGCTACCTTATCCTGAGAAAACATCCACAAGAAACAATGTTAGGGAAACATTAAGTCTGCTGGCAGTAGGACAATAATACCCTGCTTCTGCTTGATGAAAAACGAGACTATTAGACTGTCTACTAATAATTCTGTCTTCCTTGTGCTGGAGATCCATTAAGAAATGAGCTCTCACAGAGGCTAGAAATAATCCTTCAAAAGGATTCATATAAAGAATTACTTTCTAGAAGTGACTAAGTATATGACCTCAATGGAGAACAGCTTGAGATAGTTTCATCCAAGATCAATGCACTACCTAAGAATGACAGACAGGAAAAGTAACTTGGATAGCTTGAAGGAAAGTGAGGCAAAGAAAAAATAATTAGACTTCTATGTAAAATGAAGCATAATAATAATAATAAAAAAAGAATAACTTTATAGAATCAAATTATCACCAGTGAAAGTATGGAAAGAGCTACTTACAAGGACTATGAAAGCAGCTATAGGTACGGTGGTTGCTTTATTTAAATAAACATAAAAAAAATGGAGGCTGTACAATTTAAAAATGAAGATTAAATTGTCAGAGAAACTAGGCTTCAATTGTTATGTTCCTGAGAAGTGGCTAAAAATGTCATCTTAGTGTTCTATGTGTTGTATTTTTAATGTTTCTTCGGTTTAAGAACAAAATCTTTTATCACTAAGCACCAGCCTGGCAAACTCACCACGGGGTCTAGAAATCAAAGTCAGCTTTTTCAGTTTCACGTAATATTACCAATTTTGAAGCAAGAATTTAGCTGAGAATTCTGTTTTTATGTAACCCAGAACTGTCATTTGCATTCAGTCACAGGTAGAATGTGGTCCAGCAAATGCAATGAGAAAAAATGTACAAAAGGTCAAGGTCATCTACATTTCAGTCAAAGTTCTTTTTTTAGTTTTCCCTAACATTTTTATGGCAATTAAATTTCAGTATTTGAAAGTAAACTTATTTTCACCTTCAGTACATCTACTATTTATATAGTAGCAGATATATGCTACAGATCTAATGCATATCTGTAAGTACAAAACAGGCAGGAGCTTAAAATAACTAAACATAATGATACCAAACACATCAATATTTCTGCTGAATCTTCTCCTGTTTCCAGCCAATTATATTGATAAATTGCCAAGAATTTCAGAACTGCATTGTCACAAAACTAAAAGCTAAACATAGTTCACATCTACCAAGCTGCCAACTTAACATAGTGTTTAGTAGCAAAAAGCAATATATATATATATTCACTACATTCCTGGAGAATAAGATTTTTTATTTACTTTTTGCATTTTATAAATTGAGTGACAGGAATAAGGGACCAAAACTCAAAGTATAGCATAAGTGACCAAAAATTAGAATGATCAAAAATAAATGCCGGACTTCTTGACAACCAAGAGGACACCTGCTTACTCTAGGGTATCTATACCTTTTGGTGTCTGCAGTTTTGCTGCATCATATGCCCAGATTTACTGGCACCTTAGTAGGCAAATAAACATTTTATCTAAGTTGTAGTGTGAATTAGGATTCATTAGCTGTGTGTCCTTGCAGCTAGGAGATACAGTGCCTCAGCCTAAGAAAAGCAAAGACTTCTTAACATAAAGAATTTTATATGAGGGGAGAATTCAATGCAAAGCATGAGAAGCACCTTTCTTTTTCATGAGGCTGAAAAGCCATGTGCCTTCTAACTTTGGCTGCCTCATGGATTTCCTGGCTCCCCACAGAGACATGGCATGATGTGGCTTGCACTCCAATAGTCTCATGGTCAGAGAAGGTAGGAGAAAAAAGTCATACTGAGATTCTGGCTCCTTCACATTAGACTTTATAATCATTTACCATGCAGGTAATAACCAAACAAAAATACTTCAGAAGGTATAGAAGTTACACCCTTCTAAATAGTTCTAGTCAGTATTCTTGCCTCTGGATGGAAAAAGAAATCTCTTAAGCGTTACAACACTGACTGTTAAAAATTGGCATCAGTTTACAGTTCATAAACTAAGGTTATTGCTAATACTTCAGATTTATTTTTTTTTTTTAAATACATGCAGGACACTACTTGCTGGGTACATTGGTGAATACTGAGCACATGAGGCTAGTAATACATGGCAGCAAGTGAAGGAAGATCTTATTCTCCTTTCTTACAGCAACTTGCTGCTTTAAAATTCAACCACACTGTCCTGTCTTTACTTTTGAAAGTGTGCACCTCTTAAAAATAAGCTTAAGCAGAAAACCATTGTATAAAATAGTAATGATGGTGTAGCAGATTTAAACATGCCTTGATACTGCTACTTTGTGAATGAAATGGTAGATTTGACTATGTAGTCTAGTGGTCCATGTGGAAAGTGAGGTCTTGCTTATATTAATACAGCCAATATTGCTCATACCAGGACTACTCCCCTCTTTCCTGGAAGACTAGGTGAATAGGCAAAAAGGTAAATTTTATTGACATTTGACTGTTGAAATAAACTTTCTTTTCCACATGTCAAGCTTACTCACCTCCTTGGACAAATTGCTAATTCTTCTTAGCCACTATAACTGTCCAAGCCTAGATTTCTATCTAATTCAGATCAATTAGCTGTGGTACCTCAGTAGATGCTAAGAAGTAACAGTATTCTCAAATGTAAAATCTAGTTCCTGCTTACAGACATCAACCCACTTCTCCTTAACTATCTGATTTTTTTTTTTAATTCAATGTTTTATTCATGTGTTTATTTATCTTTACTTTTTATGCAGGGATGGTTTAAAAAGAGAGCACTACAAGGTTTGGAACAAAGCAGAAACACACTTTTCCCAGCTAATTTTCACAAGAAAAACTGATCTAACCATATGTGTTCCTAAGGAGGATATTACAGTACTCCACAAACTAGGACCAATGTTTAAACACATCTTTGATACATGTAAGTATACATCCACCTCCTCATGTAATCAACATAAATGCTGTTCAGAAATTTAATGGCAGTAGTAGAAGGATATATGCCTATGAAGATATGAGAGTGAAATTCTGAGGCCACTTTTACATTGATTTACTCCACTTTAAAGCATTCTCAATTTAAAACTCCTACAGCCAGAAGAGTTTTTTATCATTTACTTTTTGATACTTGGATTAATATAGGAAATCTTCTCTTTGACATATAAGGAGGATTACACTACAGTCCTCCTAG